AGGTAGTCTCGTACCAACTATTGAAGACTTCCTCATTGAACACAAAGAGATGCTGATCAAGAGGTTAGAACAACTTTAATCGAGAATCAATCAAGATCACCCCTTTTCATCGTCAATGAAGAGAAAGAAGAAGTGGGAGAAGAGAAAAAAAGTCTCAAAGGTGGACAATCAAATGGATTCCGTAGATCCATCTGGTGAAGAGCTTGCTTGGAAGATCATCAATGCTCAAGAAGATATGGATATGGAATGGAAAAAGTTGGGGAAAACCGAACAATTATACGATATTTGCCTTATGTAACACATTGGGATTAATTAGCTAATATGTTCACAGAAGCAATAACAGTAAATGGACCAGAACAGTTGGGAAATATTCAAGTACCGAAAAGAGAGCATTGATGAAGTTGTGAAGGAGGAAGTATAAAGTTAGGTTGGTACTCAACACGGGAAAGATAATTTACAAGGAGAGGAACTTGAAGAAGAGGATGATAATTGCTTAGGGTTAATCTGGGTTAGTGTGCCCGAAGAGGCCCTTAGTTAGGTTGGTACCCAACATAATTTCCCTTCCTTCTACAATTTATGGATTCCAGCTTTCTACCTCATGTTTTGTTGCTAAAAATACAAACTGTCCATTCCAATCTCGAACCACTATCCCCAATTGTGTTCTAGAGACGCCCCGACAACCTGCATTGGTATTGACTTTGAGTAGGCCAATTCCTTGTGGTTTCCACACGCACATATTTCTCCCTTAGATCACTGTAATTGGCTTTCATTTCTCCTGCATGTGTAGGAATTCTGCCAGACTTAGTTGAGCTCGAATAAACACTTCTTCTTCCTCCAACTTTGGACCATTAAATTGCTGGTTATTTCGTTCCTGCCAAAGCAGACTCAATAATGACTCATTCCCTACTGGACTTCCTTCGGAGCACCTGCGAGGATGTTATTGAAAAACTCTACTACAGTGATGTCCTATGCAAGAATTGTCTATTGCCCCCACGGACTTCTCCGCCAAATTCTTCTAGACCAATCACATTCCAAGAATCTATGTAATTGTATTTTTGGGATACCACAGTAAGGACAATCCTCACACCAGTCATTCATTTTCTTGGCCAGATCCTTGTTGGGGTGTAGAAATCATGGACCATCCTCCATAGGAAGTAACGATCCTTAGGAGGAATATGAAGCTTCCAAATAACTTGCCCATTCTTTCTTATCTGGGTGTTATCCTTGGTTTCCTCTGCTTCTTCTTATCGTTCTTCTGGTGGCTCCTCCATTGCTAGCTGGTAACATGTTTTCACAGTGTACTTACCGCTTGCAGGTAAGCTCCTAACAATGAAAATTAGGTGAGGGTGCTTGGATAGTGAGATTGCTTGTATAGCCCGCACCTCTTCAAAGGAGAAAAATATATGCAACAAATCTCTCTCCATCAACCCTTCCCATAGTCAATGAGTTCTGAAACCTGTTCAAGTCCCATTATCCCTTGCTATCCCACCTTTGGCTTCTTTTGATGCTCGTGCCATTCCCAACCCGCCATCTACATCCTTCAGTAGTAATTCCCGGGCTGATAATAAGCTTCGCCAAGTATAACTTGGCCTATATCCCACGTGAGCTTCCAAGATTGAACAATATGGAAAGTATTTTTCTTTTATGATCTTCCCAATAAGGGATTCTGGTTTTTGCATGAGCAGCAATAGTTGCTTTGCCAGAAGGGCCTTATTGAAATATGATAATTCCTTAAGCCCCACCCCACCATCTTCTTTGTTTCTGCACATGTATCTCCAGCTCTTCCAATGTATCTGTTTTTGTTCTCGTTGTCTCCCCGCCAATAATTAGAGATAATACTATTAATTTCACTCACCAGACTACCCGATAGTTTGAAGATTGACATTGTAAAATTCCCTTGTGCCAAGGCTACAACTTTTATAAGGCATCTTTTCTTGCCATAGATATCAACTCCCCTTCCAGCTATGGATCCTGCTGCAAATTCTTTCATTTATGTAGGAGAAAACTACCTTCTTTGAGCGTCCCATCACCATTGGTAATCCAAGGCTTCTCGTGCTTTGACACTTCTGTTAATTTATTCCCAAGATCGACACAATTTTCGCTCTCCTATGCTGCTTCACATTGTTGTTGACCGTTAGTTCTTATTTGTTGAGGCTGGCCATTTGTCCAGACTCATCATTTTCATAGTATTTTAGAATAGTCTTCAGTTTCTCGCTTTCCTGTGGACATGCCCTTGCAAACATGATATTGTCGTCAGCAAATAACAAGTGTGTTACAGATGGAGCTTTATTGCACAACTTGATTCCATGAATTCTTCCTTCTTCCTCTGCTTATCATTGATGTTAATCATTCCGCACATATTAAGAAGAGATATGGGGAGATGAGGTCCCCTTGGCGCAACCCCCTTGTTGGTTTGAAGACCTCCGTCTTGTAGCCATTGACGAGTACTGAGTAACTGACTATAGAGATGCATGCCATAACTTTCCTGACCCATTGTTCATCAAATCCCATTTTCAACATCATCTTCTCAAGAAAAAACCACTCTACCCTATCGTATGCCATATGCAATTTGGCTGCAAAGAAACCTCTCTTGACCCTGTTATCTTTCTTCTTTATTGGCTGAAAGCATTCAAACGTAGCTAGGGCATTATCATAAATAGATCGACTTGAAACAAATGCATTCTGTGTGTTAAAAATGATCTGATCCATAATAATTTTCTGCTTATTTGTCAAGACTTTGGACATGTTTTTGAAAGATAATTTAGGAGGGTGTGGGGAGACAGTTATCCTGGAATTGGTGGTAAAAACCTTGTCCAACTTATTTGGTCATTTGGTGACCAACCATTTGTAGAAATTTTGAACGTGGCATTAAATATTGGTAAGAGTAAGGCATGGAATTTTTTGACTTCTACTGAGTTGTAATACTTAATTTGAATTCTCGCTTGTTATTTCCCGTTATATGTAGCTCCGATCCCTCGTTCTGCTGCTATATTATTATAGCTCTAAGAACATTAAAATTTAGACACATATCCATTCGTGGATGCGTACATGTACCTAGCAATGGGAGATGTCACACGAATTTTAAATAATGGTTAAAAGTAGACTTTCAAAATTGAATCCAAGCAATATCTCCTTCTTTTGTTCTGTAGTTTCAAAGAGCGCCTACCCATTTTAGTATTCTCGCTTTCGTTTTCACAAATAGATTATTACTCCTAGCAGAGTCACACTACTTCTATTAAATTTAAGTAAAAATTCATAAAATAAATTGCAACAAAATTTTTAAAATAGAATAGATGGTAGAACTTCAGTATTCTTTTTCAATAATCACTTTGAGTTTTTTGTTTATAACTCCTCCTTTCGAAAAATTTAATTATCGTAGTCAAGGTTCAAAAAATCGCGTTTAATCTTATACTTAGACATTAGATAAAACTAGAACATCTCGCTATGCCCGCCTTACTGCTAGTATCTTTTTGAACATCAAGTGCGTCACGATTTGAGTTTTGTTTATTTTTTTAAAGGAGAGATCTCCAATCATATTTTTTTTGTTAACTATTGACCGAGCATATATATATATATATATAACTTTTCTATTGAGCAACAGAAATTTGTGTGTAAGAAATAAGTGTAGTTTCTTCGTTATACTTTTCTTGTGGGTTTGTAACGAACGAGTGAAGGGCTCTAAAGGTTGTCTCTGATATGATGATATGGGGATGACGTGTTCCACACTTTTTTTCTTCCATGCATCAGGCACAGGAGGAGGAAGGGGCTGGGGTTTGACAGCTTCAATCAGCCATGAGGAGGAGAGAATTGGGTTTGAATGCTTCTTCTTCTTCTTCTTCTTCTTCATACATACATATATATATATATATATTCCTCCTGCAGGGCAACCCAACGTACAATATTCCATCTGGTGGTTTAGTTTGTTACAGCTCCAACTTCATATTATAGTTCTGTACTTCCTCAGGGAAAGAAGGGGAAAATCATCTCTTTTGTATATGCTATATATGATGATAATAATCAAGTGAAAGACATAATTTCGCTTACGTCTAATGATGGCTAGCAGCGACAGAACGCCTTATCTAGACGATAGGCAGGTAACTAGACGTAATTCATAATGCTTGAGCACATATAAACTGGATTGATTAAGTAGCTTGAACCATGATAAACATGATTGATTAAAAAAGTGGTATAACAATGCTATTTATACTGAGAATTGTAATTTTTATTTAAAATGGTTAGATGTTGGGCAGGACAAATACCTTCTTTTGACGCCTTCTCGAACCATGATAATAATATGTACATAGTTGGGAGAGTTTGAAAACTAATTAATAGCATAGAAGAGCTAGACTGAAGAAGGCTCAGAACCAGAGAGTTAACGAAAAATGAAGCGTAATATAGAGATTAATCTGTGTTAATCATAAGAAGAATGAAGGACAGTATACAACTGCAAGCAGACCATCTCTGCCCTGGGCTGGGCCTGATTGTATGGTCCCTTTTACTCCTCCTCTCCTTTTATTTCTGCAAAAATAGTAAATTAATTCCGAATTCTTTTGTATATTTTAATCCTCCACTACTAGCGTGTAGATTCATATCACTCTTAGCTACTTCCTTTTCCCCAACACTTTAATTAATCTGTTTATTTTATTTTATCAAGTAACTCGAAATTCAACTCCATAAAAAGGAAAAACAACAATTTTGATTAGTCAGGTAACCTTTTTCATCTGCAATAGTCTGGTTAGCTTTTTTGCTCTGACTATGTGGAATAAGGGATGACTTTTTCTTCTATTCTTTCTCCCTCCATGCCCTGCCTTCTCCAGCTATTATATTATCATCATCACTACGTACAGTTCATATCTCTCTCTCTCTCTTTCACTCTTTCTTCTAGGGAAATATCAATAATTAATAAATTTGAAAGGAGGATAATAAATAAATAAATAAATAAATAAAACACAGTATATATATAGATTAGACACAGACGCATTATTGGTATCATGATTGTAAGTAAATCAAGGGGCCAACAACAACATCAGAAAGCAAAGCAAGCAGAGAAGAGAAGAGAAGAGAAGAGTAGAGGAGAGGAGAGGGATGGGTAGAGCGCCGTGCTGTGACAAGGCAAACGTGAAGAAAGGGCCGTGGTCGCCGGAGGAGGACGCCCGGCTGAAGTCGTACATCCAGCAGCACGGCACCGGCGGAAACTGGATCGCCCTCCCTCAAAAGATCGGTGCGTACTAATAGTAGTAGTATACTCCCTCATTTCTTGTCTCTTATCTCTCTCTCTCTCTCTCTCTGTCTGTCTAAGTTGTAATTATTATATGGGGTTCCGTAGGGTTGAAGAGGTGCGGGAAGAGCTGCAGGCTACGGTGGCTGAACTACCTCCGGCCCAACATCAAGCACGGCGGGTTCTCGGAAGAGGAGGACAACGTCATCTGCAGCCTCTACGTCACCATCGGCAGCCGGTGGTCCATCATCGCGGCGCAGCTCCCCGGGAGGACCGACAACGACATCAAGAACTACTGGAACACCCGACTCAAGAAGAAGCTCCTCGGCAACAAGAAGCACCACCACCATCGCCGCCTCAACCATCCATCTGCCGCTACTAGTAACCCGCCGCCGCCCGAGGACGACATGATGACGATGATGATGCATCATGATCAGCACTGGCAGCTCTCACCCGCAACCACGATGCCCCACCATGGTTACAATAACGACCAGGCGGCCTACTCGGCGGTTATGGGAATGAACACGGTGGCAGTCTCGCCCAACTCCTCCGTCGTCTCAATCGAAAGTTGTTCCGCCTCACCTCCACCATCATCGCTACTGTTCCATGGCGGGATGCAGGCAGCTGCTTTCCCTGTAGGAGGGCTTGATGATCCGCTGCTTCTCATGAACGACGGTTTCGAGGGTTGGTATGGTAATTACCACATGGGTTCGGCGGCCACTACTTCTTTGGACAATGCTACTAACTATTACGAGAATAATAATATGATGATGATGAATGGTTTTAGTAAGGTGATGATGAGCTCTGATCTCCCTCTCGGCGTTGGTTCTGATCAAATGCTGTTCCACCAGCTTCCAGCCATGGAGGAGGATTCATCCATCTACTTGTCGCCGCCACAAGTATGACTGCTTGCTTCTTTCTTCTTTCCCTACAGCGTCCGCCGTCCATATAGTACTACTGTAAAGCCATTATTCCTTCTTTTGATTACTTTTTAATTAGTTGAGACAATTATTATTATTATTATTATTGTTATTGTTAAGTGTTGGATTGGGAATCCTGAGAAGATATCAACAATGAGAAAAAGAGAGAAGAAACAAGGAGATAGAATTGAAGGAAGGGGGGAAAAAGAGAGAGCCGTAGTGGATTTTTACTGTAGAGACATCAGATCTGTTTGTGCAATTAACTCCAGGCTATATATAATTATTAACAATTAATGGTGGTGGTCTAATGTTTACATGCCTAATTATATTAATGCATGGTAAGACTTTAAATCTATATGTTGACCAATTAATGAGGGTTTTCTATATACAGGCAGCCTAGCCTAGCTTGCTAGCCAGTTTGGATTTTATATGTCGTTGGTCGTCTACTTGGTGTCTGTTGCAGAATTTGGGAATCTTAGGATTTCAGAAATCCCCTCCATCCATCCTTAGAAATGAATGCTCCATATTCTTTCACATGCCTCCATTAATTCTGTACACAGAGCTTGCTAAGCTACACTACTTCGGGAATCACTGCAATTTCTCCAAAAGAATTAGCTAGCGTGCAAGGCAGATGCAAAACCATGAGCAAATCCCAGTATTTTAGACCCGGTCGGTTTGTCATATTTTTATGATAATTATAAGACCAAGTCCCACTGGTGATCAGATCCGTGCATGACATATATGGAGATCGCTTATCTTTTCTTTTCTTTTTTTAAACATGCAATATGCTCAACGTCATCACTACTCTTTGTTAATGCTCAACATGTAAAAGTGAAGAAACGACGAGGTACATGCACTCTGCATTTCCACGACGCTCCTGGCGTGGAAAAGTAAACCAGGGAGATACATAGTAATAGTAATTAGCATTGGAAAACTTGCAGTGGTGGGTAAAAACAAAAAGGGAGGTTAGGAGGGAGAAAAGTTGCAGCCTGCTGATAAAGTTGCTTTGCTTTGACGTGTTTTGGCCTTGACTTGGTTGGGGTTGTAGCAAAGAAATGGTATCCCAAAAATGGCTGCTTTCTCCTTATTTGTATCCTCCTGTCTGCCTGCAGAAAACAATTAATCAGGGACACTGAAACAGACCCCAAATAACTCATGCCTCCTCATTGTGTTTTGATATAATTGTTTATATGAACATATCTCTCTTTTTCAGATGGGGCATCCTCCATTTTCCATATAACTCCAACCGCAATATTGCTCATCATCAGCGACACACAACCAAGCTATAGCAACTATTCACACCTTTAATTATTTTCCCCTTTTACGGACGTCTTATAATATGTGTATGTACATGTATACTGCTGTGTGTCAGCTGCTGCTTTTGCGATTAGTTGCCATGGCGCACCTGCGATATTGCTACAAATACTTGAAAGCAAGAGAGCAATTGATATTCATACGTGCCTAGACGTGAAAGTTACGCTCTGGTTTTCTTGTCACCAGTTGATCCCTTTGGGCCTTGACTACAATTACAAACGTCGTGATCAATGCTTCTTCTTCTTCTTCTTCCACGGCCCTGTTTAGTTTTAATTATTGATGGTTAGATTGGACATCGCTGTCGTTGAACAAAAAAACTCCACATCTCTCCTCTTGTTAACTAGAGGGATCCGATTGCATGTTGAATTTCCACTTGTTTTTATATGTGTGTTATTGTTGTCTTTCAAGGCTGATCATTGGCAGCCTTGTGAAATTGTACTGAAATTTCAAACGGATCAAGGGAAGCAGTTTGAATATCAAAGTTCGAACCGACCAGATTAATGGTTCACATTTTTAGTCGTGAAATCATGAAAGGCTAAAAGCGCAAATTGATATATGTTGTTTACTAGGGCAGTCTAATAATTTCACACACATTGAAATTATTGTATATTCAATCCTATTTGCACATTCCTACGTGAAGGCTAGCTCCATAACTTCAATCCTATATGCATTTTCTAGTCCAAATATAATCAAATTCAACACCTGATCACACACTTAAACACCATACCAAGTATAAAATTACAAAAAAACATTGAAATATTGTTAAAATGACAAAGCAAAAGACATAAAAAGAAATATGAGGTAAATTGTAAGGTTGGTCACTGAAAGTACTAAAAAATTCACGTTTTGTCACTAAAAGTATTTTATTCCACTCGTAGTCATTGAAAATGGTAAAACGTTTCACGTTTGGTCACTCTCCGTTAGTCTCCGTCAGCCTCCATTAACACCGTCAGTATTTTGCTGACATGGATAAAAAATGTTGATTTACTCATTTTTAACCCGCCATGTCAGACCCTTTACATAAACCAACCTCATTCAATCCCTAACCTAACCCGATCCCACCCACCGTCGCCGCCACCTGCCATCCTCACCTTCCACCATCGCAACCTTAGACGTCGTTCTCCTCCTCCTCCTTTGCGAATATCAGCGCCTCCTAGACTGGTCGCTCAACCTTCCTTGCAATCGACCATCGTCTCTCAACCATAAGAAATAACCAACCCCATTTCCCAAATCCAACGTTCAACACAAACAAAACCTAGAAAAGGATGAACAAGAACAGAAAGATGGGGTGATGGGATGTTACCATGAGAAAGCTATGAATTTGGATTTCGGGTATTCTATTTCCAGAGCTAAGAGTTTGAGAACTCACCATTTTCGAACCCCAAATGAACCATCCTCGGTGGAATTTCACTTTTGCCGCAACGAGCTCCTCCCCTCATTCGGTTCCTCGGCCTTCTCCTCCACCTCCTGCTCAAGAATGAGAGTCGGTGATTCTGTCATCAACTTCTCCACCACCAAGACCTTAAGCTTCAGGTATTTCATGACGGTGTCGCCGTACTTGATGGCGATTATTTCCCCTCGAATTGGTCGATGTAGGGGGGGGGGGGGGGGGGGGGATTTGGACAATAGCTCGACCCTAACCTGTTCAGGAGATTTGGGTTGTGATATTTCGCTGGAATGGGAGGGAACTTCTCGGGCGATTGTTGTGTGTGATGGAGTTTCGTGGATCGGGGGATTGGGGGAGTTAGGTATTTTGCGGCGGAAGGAGGAGGGTTGAAGGTTGGATTTTTTTGGGTTGTGTGGGTCGAGATGGAAGGGCCTAGTTATGGGTTGGGTTGGGTTAGGTTGTATGATATGGCGGGTTATGCTGACATGGTGGATCGAATTTTATGATGTGGAGGGTTAAAAATGAGTGAATCAACATTTCTGTTAGCCACGTCATCAAAATACTTACGGTGTTAACGGAGGCTGGCGGAGAGTAACGGAGAGTGACCAAACTTGAAACGCTTAACTATTTCCAATGGTCCAATATGAAATAAAATACTTTTAGTGATCAAACACGAAATTTTTAGCACTTACAGTGGCCAACCTTGCAATTTACCAAAAAAATATGTGAAGCATGTATAAAATACGGTCCTAATTCCAGAAAAGGGCCTATAGTTTAACCTTTATGTCACTTATACCACTAAGTGACCAGTTCACGAACGAGTTGGCCAGTTCACGGCCGTGAACACCTAAACGCGTCCGTGAACTCAGTTGTCTCCAAAACGCACCGCTTTGCTTCCTGGGTTCACGGTCAATGGCCACAGTTCACGGTCTTAGAGACCGTGAACTGCCTTGTCGTTAGTAACTTCTGGAATCTCGCTGGATGCCTCGGTGTTCACGGTTTGTGGTTGAAGTTCACGGTCTTAGGAGACCGAGAACTCCCTCATCCGGTCGTGAACTGCGGTTGTTTCCTGGACGCCTGCACTTTACTATTAATTCGGACTTTTCTTCGGTTTTTGCGCTTTTTGACCTCCAAATATCCCAAAACTCGTCCTCGACCCTTCCACACATGCTAGGACCTAAAATGTATCAAAACAAGCACAACCTAGCGTGAAATATGTCAAGGAACGATGAAATACTAAGCTAAACGAATAAGAAATGAGCGGTAAAATGTGTACATTTGGGCCCGAATCACACCCCCACACTTAGACGTTTGCTTGTCCCCAAGCAAACTAAGTACAAAACAAGGTAAGCTTACAACTTCTTTTTCAACACAATTTTTGGGGCATGTCTTAGGGCACAAAACGAATGAATCACAATGGTTATTTGACACTGACCTATGGAGAAAAACAAAGTAATATTGGCAACCACCACAAACGACATTCAACTGTATTAAGATTGTGCAAAAGAAGAGTTCTCACATTATTCATCAACCAATACACAACATGCCTCGACGACTCACCAATCACAGTTACTCATGCATGAAGATCACATTATAGTTACGAACGATCGAGCAACCTAGGTCCTCACCGGGGCAAAAGAAATGAACAAAACATGATGAATGAATCACTCACTCTCGACCAGTGGGGTCAAAACCATTTGATGCAAACGATGTGCATATTCACGCTCAATCCTAACGTCCCTATACCATGATGGTAACCTCCAAATGTTAGAGTTCACAAGATGGGTGTCGTTCCTAGCTTGTCCGGAGGTCTTAGCACGGGTTCAAATGTCTGGCTAGGGTCTAGGACATGGGGAAGAAGGCTATTTAGGTGGTGGCAAACACAACATGAGGTTTCACATCTTCAACCTAAGACACAAGGTTCTATGGTTTCGACTAGAACCTTGCCACGAACAACAGCCACTTGCATCGGCCAAAAACTGCACTTCCCACTATTCCAAACCACAACCAATCACCAAACCATATTACACACACTTTCTTGCTACATTTGCTATTCAATATTAAGCACAAGAGTGTAGAGTTCAACAACATGTAAGTGTTCCTATGGCTTGCATGCTAAGCAGCACTTCTAAGAGCATGTTCAACATTTATGATAATTTTGGTGGCCACTCTCTTTTCTTCTTTCCCTCTTATTGGTCTCTTTTTTTTTTCTTTTTGCTTTTCTTTTCTCTTTTCTTTGGGGGCTATAGAGAGCTATATACACATGCCACAAATGGTATGAATGGAGTTTTCCAACACAAGGGTGACTGGATAACGGTGTAGACACGAAGAAAGTAGGGTCGTTCTATCTAAATCAATCAAGCTCAAGTAGCATGAACTACCTAACATGAGAACGATCCTTAGACACACGGCTCAAAGGGGTTGACTAAGGGATGATATGATTGGGTCGGTCAACATTTGGGTCGTGGGCTAAACCTATGCCTCCCTCTTCCTCGCTAGCAACAACGTGAATGCTACGCATCATGTAAAGGGGGGCCTATCACACAAGAACGAAACGAACGACACAAGTCTCACATGGCTACCTAAGTGCTCAA